GACGTCACGTGCACCAAGATCGTGCGTATTTGTAAGCTTAGCGTGTCCCCACAGACGGTAAGGCGTTTTCTGAGGTCGAGCGGGGCTGCTTATGCTAAGATTCCAACAGCTCCAAGGTTAACTCCGGCCCATAAAACAGCCCGAGTGAGTTTTGCCTCCGAGCACTTGCTTGCGGAGACTGATTTCTCGACGTGGATTTTCTCTGACGAAAAGCGATTCAACTTGGATGGCCCAGACGGCCTGCGCTACCGATGGATGTTTCCCGGACAAGAGGAAGCGGTTCTGTCGAAAAGAGCGTTTGGTGGTGGGTCTATCATGGTCTGGGGTGGGATAGCTGGATCTCATAAAGTAGCCCTGGTGGAAATACAGAGCAACATGAACAGCGAGGTCTACCAATCCATGCTGGAGATGAACTTGCTACCATTACTGGAAGCGGGGGAGGAGGAAGGAATCGAGTACACCTTCCAACAAGACAATGCGAGGCCTCACGTATCTCCTTCAACTAAAGAATGGCTGGCACGCAATGGCGTGGCAACCGTCCAGTGGCCAGCAGTGAGTCCAGATCTGAACTGCATCGAGCACTGCTGGGGCAGGATGGCTCTAGCCGTCTATGGAGGGGGTAGAGGCCCCTACAGTACCAAGGATGAACTCCGACAGGCAATTTTTAAGGCCTGGGATGACCTGACACCCGAAGATATCAGCACTCTCACTAAGTCGACTCGCAGTCGCTGTGTAGAGGCGATTAAGTGTCAAGGTGGCCCTACGAGGTATTGTTAGTTTCTTTTTGTGTGAATCGTGTCTCCTCAGTGACAGGAATGTTGAATTACAGTGCCAATTTAAGATGACCTTGGTGGCTTCTATTTTTTTAAAGCGCGGAAAAATTGACCGTTTCAGAAATTTTACTAAAGCGAGCGAATAATGATACGACTCTGATATATTTTTATTCCTACATAAGTGATACCCTCACACACGAAATCTCACAGCCTGAGTCGCAGTAATAACAGAGAAATCGAGAAAATACTGTATGTTCTATTATTTTGTGAGGGGGTTTATCAACACAATACAAGCATATTCAGAAACGTCGTAACGCCGCTTTAGCGTTCTCCCTAGCTTCCAACTGCTCCACAGTGAGCTCAGTTACACGCGTGTGACGAGGGTCCATGCCCAGACTTGCAGAGGTCGACTGGGCCCAGTCAGGAAGGGCTCGGGAATACTCGCTGAACGGCACTCGCATCAACAACGACGACTCCTCCTTATCGTAATGATCAACAACAAACTCATTGAATTTATCAAAGTCGATCCATACCGCTTCCTGCAGCCCTCGTCGGACCAACAGTGCACTACAGCTGTGCTCATGCACGGCCGACAGGGCATACTGCCCACCGAACCTGACCCCATAAGCTATACACACAAAGTCGAAGAGGGCTGGAAGGACTCAACTCGCATTCTATTTTCTGTGCGAAATTGATGATATCATCGAAATACGGACAGTTGGCCATCGTCAGTCCCGTAGCATCCCGATCCCATCCAGCGTAGGTGGCGCCTTTCACCTGATAAGAAGGATAGCCCATCACACTCCCCAAGAAGAGAGCAAGCATCCACCTCTATGAAATCAGCCTTCATCAAATCGATCAACTTGGCGTAGCCAAATATGTCCTCATCATTAACATCCTTCAGTAACGTCAATCTCGCCACCTTCCTTTGACTATCCCCCTTCTCAGCCGCCGCCTCCAATGATGCCAACAGCCTCTCCCAATAGTCTTTGAAAAGAGGCCGGTCCACCTGACG